TCCCTCTGCCCTTCCCCACCGGTTCTCCCCCCCTCTCTCCTTCCTTTGGACGCCTGCTGGTCAGCAAATCCAGCCCATTCCCACCCACCCACCCACCTCCCCACCTCCCCAAAGGAGAAACTTCCCACAGCTTGATCCAGCTGGACCATCTGGAAAAGGAAGAAAATTAGAAAGCTGCGGAAAAACCCCGGCGAAGCCACCGAGCACTTTATTTTTTACTGCAAAATTAGGTGGGTACCGGATGATTTTTTTTTTATTATCCCTGGGAGGATGAGAAGACCTGTGGGATGAGGGCTGGTGTGTCTGTGGGTCTGTGTTGTTGTGTATTTGTGTGTTTGTATGTTACAGGGGAGAGGGAAATATAACCAGATGCTGCTGGAACGTGTGTGTTTTTTTAGTTTTTGCAAAGCTCTGCCTGATCTTTTTGATCTGGGAATTGCAATCAATGAGATAGCTGTGTGTTTTTTATTTTTCCCCTCCCTTATCACGAGGAAAATGGGTGAGGGGGATTAGAAGCATGATAGGATAGAAATGAAGCTGTTGGGAAACGTATTTTTTCTTCCGCCTGCCTGCCCCATCATAGCGAGGGGTTTATTTTCCAAAGCACCAGAAGACAAGAAACAACGGATGGAAACTCGTCAAGGAGAGAAGCAACCTGGAAATTAAGGAGAAGCTTCCTAACAGGGACAACGATTAACCGGTGGAACAGCTCGCCACTAGAAGTTGTGGGTGCTTCGTCGCTGGAGTGATTTTTTAAGACTGGACAGCCACTAGGTCTGGAATGACATAGGGTCTCCTACTCAAGCAGAGGGCTGGACTAGAAGACCTCCAAGGTCCCTCCCTTCCAGCTCTATTCTGATTGATATTGATTTAAGCGTATGCTTTCTCGCGTCACCGACTCGTAAGTAAGTTCCATTCAATGGCATTGGAGCGTGGGTGCTGGGATATTTAGTTTAGGATCCCTTGGCATGTTTCTTCCCCCTTTTTAAAGAACATAGAATCCTATCCTAGGGCCTTACAGGACCTCAGAGGTCATCTAGTCGAGCCCACTACTCAAGGCAGGAGATCTTATACACCATCCCATCAAACGGTCTATTTTTTGGAAAGCCTCCAGTGATGGAGCATCCACAAATTTTGTTCTCCCTGTCAGGAAATTTCTCCTTAATTCTAGGTTGAATCTCTCCTTGATTAGTCCCCATCCATTTTTGTCTTGTCTTCCGGTGTTTTGGAGAACATGTCAATCTCTTTATTCTCTATGACAGCCCCTCAACCAGTGGAAGGCATTATGTCTTCCCTTTAAGGGGCTGTTCTTTTATTCGGGAGCTTCCTTAATAAGTAAAGTCCCATTGAGTGCAATGGGATTTAACATAAAGTAAATCCCATTGTACTCAATGGGATTAACTATGCCTGAAGGAGCTATGCAGGAAAGTAAGAACTATTAGCAGGACACACCCTAAATGTCTTCTATAGGGGATGGAAACCAGGGGTGAAATATAAAATGTGTTACTACCGGTTCTGTGGGCGTGGCTTTGTGGGGGGGGGGTAATTTGACTTGGTGGGCGTGGCCAACTTTTTTTTTTTTAACTTTTCAAATCATTTTTTCTAATGCTTTGAAAAGCCTCTGATGATCCCAGCTGAGCCGCGCGATCATCAGAGGCTTTTTTAAAAAAACTTTTCAAAGCATTTTTTCTAATGCTTTGAAAAGCCTCTCTGCCGATCAGGCAACTCAGCTGGGCATGGGAAGGGGGCCCGCAGGGATTTTTTCTACCGCTTCTCCGAACCACTCGCCTGCCATCGCTACCGGATCGAGTGATCCGGTCTGAACCGGGAGCATTTTAGCTCTGATGGAAACTATACAGCAGTCTAAACCGAATGCAAAATAAAATAGTACAGCATAGCTTTTCCAAACTTCGGCAACTTTAAGACATGCGGACTTCAACTCCCAACTGGCTGAGGAATTCTGGGAGTTTGAAGCCCGCAAGTCTTAAAGTTGCCCACTTTGAACACTCTGATATACAGGTAGTCCTTGTCTTATGACCACAATTGAGCTGAAAATTTACGTTGTTCAGTAAGACATTTGTTAAGGGAGTTTTGCCCCATTTTACAACTATTCATGCCACAGTTGTTAAGTGAATCATTGCAGTTGTTGAGCTAGTCGCACGGTTGTTAAATGAATCTGGTTCCCCCCCATTGGCGTTGTCGGTCAAAAGGTCACAAAAAAAGTGATCACATGACCCCGGGACACTCACTGCAACCGTCATAACTACGAGTCAGTTGCCAAGCATCTGAATTTTGATCATGTGACAGCGAGGTGGCTGCAACGGTCATAAGTGTGAAAAATGATCATAAGTCACTGTAAATTCTCAGCGCCATTGTAATTTTGAACGGTCACTAAACGAACTGTTGTAAATCGAGGACTACTTATAGTTCAGGGGATCTGACAGCTGGGGAAATGTCAGAGGTGAACGACGTATTTATTTACCCATTCGTTTATTAAATTTATATGCCACTTATTTCATTCTGAAAAATGGCTCTGGAAAGATGTTACTTCTATATTCCTTTCACCTTTTACTCCCCAAAAAAGGCCATTTTGGGAGTGGCACAATAACTCTGAATTGAACTATTTATGGTTGGTTAAGTCTCCCTTGCATATTTTCAGACTAAACAAGATTAACATTGTTCAAACTCAACCTGTAAACGTCTTTGTTGGATTTGCAATTGATCTGTTTAACCCCATTTCAGAAATTTATCAGTATTTAACAGTAACAGAGTTGGGAGGGACCTTAGAGGTCATCTAGTCCAACCCCCTTCTTACGCAGGAGACTTGTACTAGGGATTCGAACCGCCGAACTGCCAAACTTTCTGATCGACAAGCTCAGTGTCTTTAGCCACTGAGCCACCTAGTTAGCAACTTAGTCTGGATGGGACGTTGTTAAATCTATGGCAGGAATAAAGCCATCACAGATATAGTCCTGGACTTATGACCACAACGCAGCCCCAAATTTACGTTGCTCAGCGAGAATGGCTGTTAAGTGAGTTTTGCCCCCTTTTACGACTTTCCTTGCCACAGCGGTTAAGCGAACCGCTGCGGTTGTTAAGATAGTCACACGGTTGTTAAGTGAATCTGGCTTTCCCCCTTGACATTGCTTGTCAGAAGGTCGCAAAAAGAGGATCGCAGGATCATTTGCAACGGTCGTAAGTACATAAATAGTGGCCAAAATTGTGGGAACCTTTTGGGAAAAGTGTATTTTCTAAAACTACCTAATAAGACCACTTTTCTTTGGAGTCGTACCATAAAATTATATATCAATGGAAAGATAATTGAATCAAGAATGTCATGCAATCACTTTGATGAAGGATTTGCTATTAGAATAGCAGTTACAGTATAAAGAAGAAAGGGGAAACACGTAGAATAAATGAGATATACAAAAATTATCACCATGGAAAAAACGAGATATGCAAAAATGATCCCCATGTCAGTTAATGCTTAGTTGGGTAACCTTTAGGATGAATTACAGCTTTACAAGGTCTTCCCATGGAGTGAACCAAGTCTTTGAGTTCTTCAGCTGTTCTAATGTGAAACCAAGATGGAATGATGGCTTCTATTAACTGGGTTTGATTGCTGAGTCGCTTCTGACTAACCAGTTTCTTTAGTGGGCTCCATAGATTTTCCATTGGGTTAAGGTCTGGGCTATTCCCAGGCCTTTCCAGCAGTGGAATATCATTATCTTGAAACTCCCCCCCCAAAAAAAGTGGTGTTATTAGCCATCAAACCTCAAAAATGCACTTTTCCCAACAGGTTTCCACAATTTTGGCCACGAATATATGAGTCAATTGCCAAGCGTCTGAATTTTCATGTCATCCCTTTTGCAACCTCCTGACAAGCAATGTCAACGGGGAAGCCATTTTTCACTTAACAACTTAACCACCGTGTTAGTAATGTGGAAAAATGTGGGGAAATGGCACACTTAACTAAGAAAAATGTAAAAATGGGTCCATCCCAGCTGCTTTTCCCCAGGTTTAGTTAGAGGCTGCCAAGAGGGGAAATCATTCCACAGTTTCATCAGCACTTAAGTGCAACCTGATGGGTCCCTCAGATAAATTGAATAAAGTCCCATGAACTAAATTAATGTAGGTAAATGCGGGTCCAGCTGGATGATCACTGAAGGGCCCTCTCTATTCTTAGTTCTTTCAGAGTTCTCTGGCTTTTTAAGAATGTCAATTTATAACACTGCCATTAGTTCTTTTCTCTTACTACATATTGTAATTTCTAACTCATCTCTGTAACAATTCCTAAAAGGGCAGTAACTTGTGCTGCTAACAAACAAACAAATAAATAAACTGATTCCAGGAGTTTTTTTTTTTTTTTTTAATTTGATTTATATGCCGCCCTTCTCCGGAGACTCAGGGCGGCTTACAATGCGTTAAGCAATAGCCTTCATACTTTTCTATATATTTTATACAAAGTCAGCTTATTGCCCCCACAAACTGGGTCCTCAATTTACCCACCTTAGAAAGGATGGAAGGCTGAGTCAACCTTGAGCCTTGGAGAGATTCGAACCAGCAGTAATTGCAGGCAGCTGTGTTAAGAACAGGGTGCTTTAGACCACTGTACTACCAAGGCTTTATATAAAACTCTATATAGTTTTGAATTCAGGAAGGGAAAGCTCTGCCTTTCCACAATCCTTAAAGGGAAAGGCTTCTTTTTTTTTCCCGACAGGAGTAAAAAATAAAATAAAAAATCACTCCTGATAGAAAGGAGGGGTGGCGTCTCCGCCTCTATCTATAGACAAGCAAGAATTAAGATAATTCTATGCAACATTAATTGAATCTGGACCTTGGAGTTTGAAATGGGAGGGACATGAAGGTCCCACCAAATGCTACTAACTAAACCCCTTCCCTCAATCCATCCTCCTTGCGTGTTGCATTCACCAAACCGCTTCGTGTTTCGGCCCTGGCTGGATCGAATTATTTGCTCACAATTTGGGGTTTTGCAACAGGACCACGCCGACCACGGGAAAAGCCCACTTCTCCTGCCCGTCTTCCCGCAGGATGATGGAAGAGCTGTCCTCTTCCACAGGCCCACGTGCCTTTTGCCCTTTGGCTCCTTTGAAGAGTCTTGTGGGAGACCCAGAAATCCTAAAGTCAACAGGCAGCCCGACTCCTCTCTGCTGGGTTGCCCCATAAAATCTGCAGGATAAGACAATAGCATGGTTAGGAGCACATTTCTTTCTTCCTTTGTCGCTCCCTCCCTGTTTTCCTTCCTTCATCCCTCCTTTTTCTTCTTTCTTCCTCCTTCTTCCCTCCATCCTCTTCCTCCCTTCCTTATGCCATCCCCTCCCTCCCTCCCTTCCTCTCCCTCCCTCCGTCCCTTCCATTTTTCCTTCCTTCCCCCTTTTTCCTTCCTTCCTTCCTTCCTCCCTCCATCTCCCCCTTCCTCTCTCTGTCCCTTCCATTTTTCCTTCCTTCCCTTTTTTCCTTCCTTCCTTCTTTCTCACCCTCCATCCCTTCCATTTTTCATTTCTTGCCCTTTCCTTCCCTTCCTTCCTTCCTCCCCTCTTTTCTCTGTTCCCCATCATCTCCCTCCCTCCCTCCTTCCTTCCTTCCTTCCACCTTCTCCACCTTCCTCTCTCTGTCTCTTCCATTTTTCCTTCCTTCCCCTTTTTCCTTCCTTCCTTCTCTCCCTCCCTTCCTTCTATTTTTCCTTCCTTCCCCTTTCCTTCCCTTCCTTCCTCCCTCCCCTCTTTTCTCTGTCCCCCATCATCTCCCTCCCTCCCTCCTTCCTTCCTTCCTTCCTTCCTCTTCCCTTCTCTCCCCTCCCCTCCCTTTCCCACTCTTCTTCCTCCCCTCCCTCTTCTTCCTCCCTCTCTTATATGATCCCCTTCCTTCCTCCCTCTCTCCTTTCTCACTATTTTACCTTTCTATTTTCCTTCCTTCCTTCCTTCCTTCCTTCCTCCCTCCCTCCCTTCCTTCCTTCTTCCTCATTCTTCTCTTCCTCCTCCTCCTCCCCCTCTCACCCCATAATCCTCAACTGGGACAGTCCCCATGTAGAATTATCTAGGCATCTTCCAAAGGCTCCACCACATACAGGTTGTTAGCAAACTTTTTAAAAGCCACAAGGAAGCCGATAAGGCAGAGTTTCTCAACCTTGGCTGCTCTAAGATCTTGCCAGGTGGGGAATTCTGGGAGTTGAAGTCCAGAGATCTAAAAGCACCTCAGGCTGAAAAAAAAGTGCAGGTACCTTTGCTAGAAAGAGAGATGGACAAAGCTAGGGGGGAAAAAACTGCCAGAAACTCTGGTTTTGGGGTTTTTTTTTTTTAGTTTTTAAAAAGTGGCTGAGATGGGACATAGAGGTCTAATCCCTGGGAATGACAGCTCAAATAAAGCCCTGAATTCCTTGAGAGTCGACATCTGGCTTCGCCCTTCAACAGTTCTGCAGCTGGGGTGTTGACGCCGCCAAAGACTGGTGAAATTCCCACTGTCCGCGCCAGCTGCTTGCGTTCCCCCAGGCTCGACTTTTAAACCAGTGTTTCCCATGCACAGTTTGATCTCTAACCACTGCTCCTTTCTCCCTTTCTCTAGAAGCCATGAAGTTTTCCCTCTTACTCTTCTTCTGGGCTGTTCTAAACGGTGGCATCTCGACGTATCGGCCCATCGCGCTTGCGCCCTGCGAAATGGTAAGGAAAACAATTAACAAGGAAAACTTGGAAAAACAAAAAACAAGGAAAATCCATTCGTAGGAGGCAGTCCTCGACGTACGACCACAAATTGTGCCCAAAATGTCTGTCGTTAAGCGAGACGGTCGTTAAGTGTTGAGCTTTGGCCCGTTTTACCACCTTTTTTTTTTTTTGCCAACATTGTCAATTTGTTTAATTTGGCCGGTGAATTTCATCCATCGTCTGGATTCATGCCTTACGCTGAATTATAAGATAGCCAATTTAGCTGCGTTGCCCAACATCCATGCTGTAAAACAAGGCACGGGGGGGCTACAACCGAGTTGTATAAACAGAATCAAGGTCACGTGAAGTGTTAGTGCCGCTTTATAATTATAATTATTATTGTTTATTGGTTCGATTTATATGCCGCCCTTCTCCGGAGACTCAGGGCGGCTTACAATGCATTAAGCAATAGCCTTCATACTTTTGTATATTTATACAAAGTCAGCTTATTGCCCCTACAAACTGGGTCCTCAATTTACCTACCTTAGAAAGGATGGAAGGCTGAGTCAACCTTTAGCCTGGTGAGATTCGATCCTACTTTAATTGCAGACAGCAGATGTTAATAACAGTGCTTTAGTCCACTGTACTACAGGCTCTCCTATTCTATTCTATTCTATTCTATTCTATTCTATTCTATTCTATTCTATTCTATTCTATTCTATTCTCTTGCAGCTTGGGGTGTTCATTGCGCCAAGACTGTTGAAATTCCCACTGTCCGCGTCAGCTGTTGGTTCGTCCTCCAGCTCGACTTTAAACCAGTGTTTCCATGCACAGTTTGATCTCTAACCACTGCCTTTCTCTTTTTCCTCTAGAAGCTCATGAAGTTTTCCTTCTTACTCTTCTTCTGGGCTTGTTGACGAAAATCTACGGTCCCTCCCATCTCGACGTATCGTGCCCATCGCGCTTGCGCCCTGCGTAGAATGGTAAGGAAAACAATTAACAAGGAAAACTTGGAAAAACAAAAAACAAGGAAAACCATCATTCTTAGGGGCAGTCCTCGACGTAACGACCACCACAAATTGTGCCCAAAATTTCTGTCGTTAAGCGATGATGACGGTCCGTTAAGTGTTGAGTTTTTGGCCCTTTTTTACCACCTTTTTTTTTTTTGCCAACATTTCAATTTGTTTAATTTGGCCTTTTTAATTTCATCCATCTCAGGATTCATTCCTTACTCCATAAATCTGACGCCAATATTAATACTAGCTTTTTGTTGCCCAACATCCATGCTGTAAAACAAGGCACGGGGGGGCTACAACCGAGTTGTATAAACAGAATCAAGGTCCACGTGAAGTGTGAATTGTGCCGCTTTATAATTATAATATATTATTAAAATTGTTTATTGGTTCGAGTCTTTGAACCTCTCCTCGATAAGTCATCCAGGAGAGGCTCAGGCAATGCTTTAACAATAGCCTTCAATATTGTTGTATATTCTATTACTAAGCTCTCAGCTTTCCCCAATCACATTGCCCCTACACAACTTACTCGCTCATTCATTTACCTACTTAGAAGGATCTGGAAGGCTGAGTCACTACAACTCTTGCCTGGTGAGAATTCGATCCTACTTTAACTTGCAGACAGCAAATGAGTATTATAGCAGACCAGAGCTTTTCCACTGTTTTACAGGTCTATTCCTATTTATCTACCTATTTCTATTCTATCTATTCTATTCTATTCTATTCTATTCTATTCTATTCTATTCTATTCATCTTCTCATCGTTCCCACCACCCATCTCCTTCCACTTATGATTGTATGACTGTAACTTTGTTCCTTGTATCCTTATGATTTATATCGATATTCTTTCCTGATTGCTTATTTGTACCCTATGACTATCATTAAGTGTTGTCCCTTATGATTCTTGATGAATGTATTTTTTCTTTTTATGTACACTGAGAGCATATGCACCAAAGACAAATTCCTTGTGTGTCCCATAACACTTGGCCAATAAAGAATTCTATCTATCTATCTATCTATCTATCTATCTATCTATCTATCTATCTATCTATCTATCTATCTATCTATCTATCTATCTCTATCTATCTATCTATCTATCTATCTATCTATCTATCTCTATCTATCTATCTATCTATCTATCTATCTATCTATCTCTATCTATCTATCTATCTATCTATCTCTATCTATCTCTATCTATCTCTATCTATCTATCTATCTATCTATCTATCTATCTATCTATCTATCTCTCTCTCTCTCTCTCTCTCTCTATCTCTCTCTCTCTCTCTCTCTCTCTCTCTCTATCTATCTATCTATCTATCTATCTATCTATGACCATCATTAAGTGTTGTACCTTATGATTCTTGATGACTGTCTCTTTTCTTTTATGTACACTGAGAGCTTATGCACCAAAGACAAATTCCTTGTGTGTCCAATCACAGTTGGCCAATAAAGAATCCCATCCTATTCTATCCTATCCCTATTTCTATTCTATTCTATTCTGCATTTTTTCTCGTATTCTATTCTATTCTATTCTATTCTATTCTATTCTATTCTATTCTATTCTATTCTATTCTATTCTATTCTATTCTATTCCTATTCCTATTCCTATTCCTATTCCTATTCCTATTCCTATTTCTATTTCTATTCTTACTAACCAGGTTTAGCAGATGGTATGAAAGCATCTGCAAAGCTTGTTCACCGAACTGGTTAAGCGAACGCCAGCCAAACAGTGACTGAAGGCTCTCTGCTAAATTACAGCTGATGCAATATTTGGATTAAAGCCTTCGGCTTTTCTGCTCTGAGAATCCAGAATCAACAGTTCTTGTTTCCTATCTTTAGCAACCAGAGCAAGACTCCACCGTCCGACATCACTGTAATGATGCAATCCAGGAAAAGCGAGATCACAGGATCTGTTCTTTTGGTCTTATGCTGTCCAGATGAGGGGCCAAGGAGTGTTTTTCTACCCTTGCCAATGAGCAGGGGAAGATGGGAGTTGTGGGTCTGACATCTGGAGGTCCATGGGACTAGAGCAGTGGTGGGATTCAATTTTTTTTTTACTATCGGTTCTATGGGTGTGGCTTGGTGGACGTGGCAGGAAGGATACTGTAAAATCTCTATTCCCACCCCACTCCAGGGGAAGGATACTGCAAAATCTCCATTCCCACCAGAGGTGGGTTTCGGCAGGTTCTGACCAGTTCTGGAGAACCGGTAGCGGAAATTTTGAGTAGTTCGGAGAAACGGTAGTAAAAATTCTGACTGGCCCTGCCCCCAACTATTCTCTGCCTCCCAAATCCCAGCTGATTGGGAGGAAATGGGGATTTTACACTATCCTTCCCCTGGAGTGGGGAGGGAATGGGGATTTTGCAGTATCCTTCCCCTGGAGTGGGGTGGGAATGGAGATTTTGCAGTATCCTTCCCCTGGAGTGGGGAGGGAATGGGGATTTTGCAGTATCCTTCCCCTGGACTGGGGTGGGAATGGAGATTTTGCAGTATCCTTCCGCTGGAGTGGGGTGGGAATGGAGATTTTGCAGTATCCTTCCCCTGGAGTGGGGTGGGAATGGAAATTTTGCAGTATCCTTCCCCTGGAGTGGGGTGGGAATGGAGATTTTGCAGTATCCTTCCCCTGGAGTGGGGTGGGAATGGAGATTTTACACTATCCTACCCCATGCCACGCCCACCAAGCCACACCCACAGAACTGGTAGTAAAAAAATTTGAAACCCACCACTGCCTTGGAGGTCTTCAAGCAGGAGAACCTATATCATTCTGGATAGATGGGGAGAATGGACAGACAGACAGATAGTTAGAAAGGTAGATGAGAGAGAGAGAGAGAGAGAGAGAGAGAGAGAGAGAGAGACGATGGATAGATGATAGACAGATAGATAGACAGACAGATGTTAGAGATGATAGATGGGTAATAGATGATAGATCAACAGAGAGACAGACAGACAGACAGATGATGGATAGATGGTAGACAGATAAACAGATAACAGATGATAGATGATAGATAGATAGAAAGATAGTTGATAGAGATGATGGATGAGTAATAGTTAGATGATAGATTGAGAGAAAGAGAAAGAATGGATGAGAGAGAATGGGACAGAGAGAGAGAATGGGGGAGAGAAAGGATGAGAGAGAATGGGAGACAGAGAGAGAATGAGAGAGAGAGAGAAAGGATGAGAGAGAGAAAAGATGAAAGAGAGAATGAGACAGAGAGAGAATGAGACAGAGAGAGAATGGGAGACAGAGAGAATGAGAGAGAGAGAAAGGATGAGAGACAGAATAGGACAGAGGGAGTGAGAAAGGATGAGAGAAAGCATGAGAGAGAGAATGGGACAGAGAGAGAGAAAAGATGAAAGAGAGAGAATGGGAAACAGAGAATGGGACAGAACGAGAAAATGAGAGAGAGAAAGGATGAGAGAGAGAAAGGATGAGAGAGAGAATGGGACAGAGAGAGAGAGAGAAAGATGAAGAGAGAGAATGGCACACAGGGAGCGAAAGAGAGAAAGAGAGAGAATGGGACAGAGAGAATGGGACAGAACGAGAGAACGAGAGAATGAGAGAGAAAGGATGAGAGAGAGAAACGGGAGAGAGAGAATGGGAGATTGGTTCTTGGTTCTTGTTCTCCTCTAAAAACCGTCTGCATGGCCAACCTTTGACCTGAGATTCCCATGAGTGATGCACTCGGTGGTTTCCTGGAAAGTTAGAAGAGGATATCACTAACACGCTTCCATTTAAAAAGGCATTTTTTTTAAAAAAAAATAAAAATCCAGGGCTTGACATCGTTTCAGTGGGGCAGCTCCTGCCGAGCTGCAGGCCCTGTGAACACGAGGCATCCTGTTTTCTTACGGCATTCCTTCTGGGCCCCTCTGGGAATGCCCTTAACAGACTGGGGCCGCTCCACCAAGGAGCTATATCTGTCTCCAAGAACAAAAGCCAAAGAGGAAGGGAAGTCTGGACAAACTTAGGAGAAGTTCAGAAAGAGCCTCCGGAGTAGGAGGACAATCCGGTGCCAGACAGGAAATAGGGGTAGTCCTCAACTTACGACCCCAATTTTTTATTTATTTATTTATTTATATGCCGCCCTTCTCCGGAGACTCAGGGTGGCTTACAATGCGCTAAGCAATAGCCTTCATTCTTTTGTATATTTTATACAAAGTCAGCTTATTGCCCCCACAAACTGGGTCCTCATTTCACCCACCTTAGAAAGGATGGAAGGCTGAGTCGACCTTGAGCCTTGGCGAGATTCGAACCCTGCAGTAATCGCAGGCAGCTGGTCTTAATAACCAGTTTAATAACAGGGTGCTTTAGACCACTGTACTACTAAGGCTCTTGGGACCAGTCGCTTTGTACGGTGGGTTGCTAAGTGAATCGCACCCAACCTTATTTTGACCAGGGTTGTTAAGCAAATCACTGCGGTTGTTAAGTGAACCACATAGTCGTTAAATGAATCCAGTTTGCCCTCATTGGCCTGGCTTGTTGGAAACCGGCTGAAGGTTGCAAATGACCATCACATAACCCTGCTTGCAAATACATCCCACTTATGAATGTATGACTGTAACCTTGTTGCTGGTATCTTTAAGATTTATATTTATATTTATATTCCTAGTATGATTCGATTGCTTATTTAAATTTTGTCTATCTTTGTGCTTTTAATCAGGCTGTACACCGCCCTGAGGCCTTCAGGAGAAGGGCGGTATAGAAATAAAATAAATAAATAAATAAACAGTAAAAACTAAAATTCCCATTAAAACCCCAGTGGAACTGCTTGCCACCAGAAGTTGTGAGTGCTCCAACACTGGAAGTTTTAAAAAGAGACTGGGCTTGAGCATGGGGTTGGACTAGAAGACCTCCAAGGTCCCTTCCAACTCTGTTATCCTGTTAATACAGGAAGATCAATTAGCAAAATACCCATTTTAGACACACCACACCATGAGTTCAGGCCTCGCTGAGAAATTTTTTTTAGTGTATACAGAATTGATCTGTGAATGTTCTTCTCCGGTGTGAATATCATCACAATTTTTATTCCCCCCTCTCTCTTCTTTCCTACAGAGAAACCTGGAGGCCTTTTGTCAGAACGTGGATCTTCACCAGGTGCCTCCAGAGCTTCACCCCGACGTGTCTAAAATTGACGCCTCCGGAAATAAGATTCGAAATGTCACCGAGAGGCCCCTGACCTTCTACGCTTCCCTCCGTCACTTGGACTTAAGTTCCAATCTGATCGGATTTGTCAAACCTGGGATTTTTGCGGAGATGAAGAACCTGCTGGACATCAACTTGGCCAACAACCAGCTCTATCTGTTGGCGCAGGAAGATCTGTGGGTTGGGTTACTACCCCAAGTCAGGAGACTAGACCTGTCTCGCAACAGTCTCTACAGCGGGATGGCAGAACATTTCATTCACCAGGCGCCTTCGTTGCGCTATCTTTCCTTGGCGGAAAACAGCATCATACACATCTCCCAGAGCATGTTCCAAGGGTCTCCAGAGCTGGTGGAAGTCAACCTGCACAACAACATGATTATGGAGATAGAAGAAGGCGCGTTTGAGAGCCTGACACGTCTCGCCAAGCTGAATCTCTCCATGAACTCCCTCACTTGCATCGTTGAGTTCAACCTCAGGCAGTTGGAAGTTCTCGACCTCAGTCGGAACAGCATCGAGTCCTTCCACTCCACCCAGTCGGTGGAGGACTTCAACTTGATCTGGCTTGACCTGAGTGAGAACAAGCTCCTTCGCTTCCCCGTTCTCCCTCAAGGAAACAAGCTGGCTTACTTGAACCTAACCAATAACATCATGCAATTTGTTATGGTGGACTCCCATAGCGACGTAGACTACCAGTGGGAAGATGGGCCTCAATATCCCAACAATTCCCGTCCTCCCTACTTACCTGCCCTGTTGTCCTTGGACCTCAGTTACAATGAGATCCAATCCATCCCAAGCCAATTCTTTGACTCCATGTTGTCCCTCCAATTCCTTAATTTAAGCAAAAATTGCCTGCAGACTTTTGGGACAAGCAATGAGTTGGCCTTGTTGTCCGTCCTTGACCTTAGCTGCAACTCTTTGAAGAACCTTAAGTTGGAGTCCAACACCTTGAGAGGTTTGCGGGAGTTCCACCTCCAAGATAACCATCTTCAAGAGTTGCGTCCAGATATCTTTCAAGGTCTCCCATATCTCCAGTGGCTTGACCTGAGGAACAACAAAGTCCACCTCTGTGACTCGCATTCAGGATCAAGAAGGCAACGATTGTCTCCTAATGTTCCTCACAGTTGTGTCTCGTTTGTGCGAGTTCCCAAACTTCAATATTTGTATCTTTCGGCCAATCGTTTGAAGAACCTACCCATGTACAACTTCTTCGGGACTAAGCTTAGGGTACTGGATGTCTCCATGAACTGGGGACTTCAGATAGAAGCCAAATCATTGGTAGGCTTGGAATTCTCGCTGGAATATCTGGATTTACACGGGAATGGCCTGACCACTCTGAACGTGGATTTTTCTCTTTTTCCTCACCTCAGGTATCTCAATCTATCGGACAATCAGCTTAGCTGGTTGCCTGCTTGGTCAGAAGACTGTTGTGTCCTTGAAGTCTTAGATCTTCACAACAACAGCTTCAACAGCTTGAAAAATAGCCAGATCCCAACTCTGGAAAAAAACCTACGGAATTTGTACCTGGTAGGGAACCCGCTGAGTTGTTGTGGAAACATCTGGCTCTCTCAAATGATCCATAAAGCCGTGGTGGAGATCCCTGATCTAGACTTGGTCAAGTGTCAGTTTGCCCGGAGTTTGGGATTTGAGGAAGAAGAGGTCCACATGAGCCACGTCAGGCCAGAAGACTGCGAGAGAGAGGACCTCAAGAACATGAGTGTTTTGATATTTTTGGCGATCCTGCTGGTTCTCTCGCTGATCGTCATCGGAGTGGGTCTCGTTTGTTGTTATCGGAGACACTTATTTGGGCGCCATTACAAGGTGTAGACCAAGAGAGATCTCGCACAGTTGCATTTCCCTCTCTTGGACCCTGGAGCCAAAGTCCAGGTGATTCGATTCCACCAGGGAGTTTTCAAAACGCTGTGAAAGTTCGGATGATAAGATGGTGACTCATTCTTACGCCCAAGTCGTCGTTCAGGGAGAACATTGGCGAAGATACGCTCTTATGGATTCAGGGAGGACATGGGGCCATGGTACTCCCTTATGGATCTAGAACTGGGCTTCCCAACCTTGGCAACTTAAAGAAGAACTTGGAGGTTCTTCTTAAAGAATTTAAGAATTACATTCTCCAAAGAATTTCTTAAATTCTTAAAAGAATTTAAGAAGAAATCTGTAAGAAGAGATTGGACCGCCATTTGCCTGAAAAATGGTATAGGCTTTCCTGCTTCAGCAGAGGGTTGGACTAGAAGACCTCGAAGGTCCCTTGCAACTCTGTTATCCTGCTCCTTTGCATATATCTAGTGTAACGAAGAGAAGAACTAAGGTGACATGATAACAGTCTTCCAATATTTGAGGGGCTGTCACAGAGAAGAGGGGGCCCCCATCTATTCTCCAAAGCCCCTGAGGGCAGGACAGGAAGTAAAATGGAAGATTATCAAAGAGAGAAGCAACCTGGAACTAAGGAGGAATTTCCTGACAGTGACAACAATTAACCAGTGGAACGGCCTGCCACCAGAAATTGTGGATGCTCCATTACTGGAAGCTTTTAAGAAGAGATTGGACAACCATTTGCCTGAAACAGTATAGGGCCGACCTTTTTGCTGTCACGTGCCAAAAGCGGGGAGAGTGCGGAGGGGTCGCGCGCGTGTGTGCCCACACCCACAATTCAATGCGCCCCACCTTCCGTGCATTCGTGCACGACCCCCCTGTGCTCCGCCTGCTTTTGGCACGGTGGGCCCTCTCGAGGTTGCAGAGCCTTTCTAGAAGCCTGGGGAGGACTAAAACAGCCTTCCCCACCCTCCCGGAGGCCCTCCAGAGGGCAGAAATGGCCAGTTTCCAAAACAGAAAATGATGGATTTTTTTGCCCTCCCCAGGCTCCAGAGCCTTTCTAGGAGCCTGGGGAGGGAAAAAACGGCCTTCCCCAAGGCCTGAAAATCAGCTGGCCAGTGCGCGCATACATGCTGGAGCTGAGCTAAGGCAACGCTCGCGTGCCCACAGATATGGCTCCGTGTGCCACCTGTGGCACGCGTGCCATAGGTTCGTCATCCCAGGTATAGGGCCTTCTGCTTGAGCAGGGGGTTGGACTAGAAGACCTCCAAGGTCCCTTCCGACTCTGTTATTCTGTTAAAATGGGTGGACTTCAACTCCCAGAATTCTCTAGCCAGTTGTGCATGACAGAATGAGAAAATTATGTTATATTTTGTTAAAAAAGAATTTTCTGGATCTATTTTGTTCGGAGAATAGACGATAAATGAAGAAACCCATCGCTCGCCTAGGGTCATCCTAGGATTGTAAGGGGGCAGTCAAAAATGCCAAAATGGCGGCTGCCACCCTACAACGAAAGCCTGACCACTTTTTATATTGTGTGCGTGTGGCTGTGGCTACCGTCGACCGCTTCCTTCACACACTCTTCTGGATTTGTGGAGTTTATTCAATTGTGTTCTTTGCTGGAGTCAGGGGCTCAATCACAGGGGCGCCAGAGGTCAAAAGAGTCAAGATGGCGGCCACACTGAGGTGATTTCAGCCCTCACTGAAATCACTGAGGTGATTTCAGCCCTGCCTGCTTTTTAC